CTAGATAAATTTATACATGCAGGACGACATGTGCGTGTTTGTATTAACAGGAGACTAGGAAACCCCAAGCGCCCCCCACGGGAACTGCACAGTGCCCCAGGAACCATCTGCACAGTGGGGACACCATACAGCTCACCCAACACCTGAGCACACTCTCCACTGGCAGATATAAATCATCTCAAGACATTGTTAAGGGTAAAGACAGTAGGATAGCTGTAGCCGGTTTGGCTCAGTGGATAGAACATCAGCCTCTGGAGTGAAGGGTCCTGGGTTCGATTCCAGCCAAAGGCACATACCTCGGTTGCAGACTGGGTCCCTGGCCACTGGTCAGGGTGTATGTGGAAGGCAACTCATCGCTGTGTCTCTCTCACATCGATGTTTCTCTCTCTCTCCCTCCCTCCCTTTCACTCTTTAGGAAAAAACAAAACCAGTAGCATATAATGCTGCCACTTAGGTTAAAAAAAAAAAGCAAACCAGGAAGAGTAACATTTATGGAACCCGTGTTTGCTTGTCCCTGCATGAAGCCTCCCCAAAGGGTCAGACACGTTGGCCATAGTGGGGGGACTGGAGGGACGAGAATGAGGGGGAGTTTTAGTGCACGAAGGAGATTTTACTTAGAAGCTAAATATGAAAATCTACTTATATTGTCTTTATTTTTAATATATATATATATTTTTAGTTATTGACTTTAGAGAGGGAGAGGAAGGGGAGAAACACTGATTTGTTCTTCCACCTATTTATGCATTCATTGGTCGATTCTTGCAAGTGCTCTGGCTGGGGATCCAACACAACCTTGGCGTCCTGGGATGATGCTCTGACAGACGGAGCTCCCCGGCCGAAGGTCGGGCGAAGGTCCTTTTGTAGAGTGCAGTGATCAGTTCAGTGAATACTGTTGAACACGATTCCTATGTTAAACAATTACAGGCTTTCTGTTCTTGGTTGTAAAAGTCTGCTACTATATGGAATGCACTGTTCATGAGCAACTTAAACAATTTTTTTTTTACTCAAGATAACACGCAAACAGTCAGGTGCGCAAATCTCAATGGCGTTCGACACATACAGACCTGGTCAGGGAGGGCACAGCCAGCCCGCCTGATGGGGCGGGGGGACCCCTCACTATAGAGACGTCTCCTCTTGAATCTGAACCCACCCGAACGTACGGTGTGCTCCAACCCAGTACATACAGAAACACAGAAATGCGGAGTTAAGTGGGTGCACCCGTCAGGTGAGTAAGGAGTGCCCACCCAGCTGACAGAGTTCATGTGGACGGTGAGCAAACGGTGAGCAAAGCGAGGGGCAAGCCTCATCCCCTGCACGGGCCCTGACACATCTGTCGGGAAGAACTGATCTGGCCAGAGGGGGTCTCGGTCCCAAAGGGGGAGATGAAGTTGGAGAGAGGGCCGGGGGCTGAAGTCTGATGGTCACGAATACAAGGCAGCGCCCTGCCCTCCTGTTGCTCTGACCGGCCGGCCATGGTGCTAAGAGATCACTGCCTGCCAGGGACGATGGATGACCTCTACCTTCCCCAATCTCAATCCTCTTGAGCAGGGGCGGGGAGCGTCCAGCTGTGGGCTAAGGCCCGGGAAATCGTTTGGTCTGGCCCTGCCCAGGCATTAGGGGTGAGTTAATTAAATGTTTGACCACATATAACAGGCTGATTTTTAAAAATAACTTTCTTTTTAAAAAAAGTATGTTTTTATTGATTTCAGAGAAGGAGAGGGAGAGAGATGAAAACATCAATGATGGGAGAGAATCATTGATCGGCTGCTTCCTGCACATCCCACACTGGGAACTAGGCCCACAACCTGGGCATGTGACCTTGATCAGAATCAAACTCGGGACCTCTCAGTCCCCAGTCCGACACTATCCACGGAGTCAAACCGGCTAGGCTAATTTTTAAGTTGATAATTTTGTATGGCCCGCAAATGATGTTATAAATACCCAAATGGCCCTTGGCCAAAAAAAGGTTCCCCACCCCTGCTCCAGAACATCAGTTCCAGCAAGGCAGGGGCACCGGCTCCCGGGGGTCACTGCTCCATCTTCAGTGCCTAGAACACCAACTAGCCGGCACATAGTCTGTGCACAGCAAATATGACCGAGAGAGCCGATGCATGAATGAATGGGACTGTGGCGGGGCCGGGAGGAACTGGCGCCGGGTGAAAAGTCCTCGAAGCCCTCTCAAGTTGTTTATTTTTCCTCCAGCCGCATCAAGAGCAACGTGGATGGGAGGTACCTGGTGGACGGTGTCCCCTTTAGCTGCTGCAACCCCAACTCGCCGCGGCCCTGCATCCAGTACCAGCTCACCAACAACTCGGCGCACTACAGCTATGACCACCAGACGGAGGAGCTCAACCTGTGGGTGCGAGGCTGCAGGGCCGTCCTGCTGGGCTACTACAGCAGCCTCATGAACTCCATGGGCGCCGTCACGCTCCTCGTCTGGCTCTTTGACGTAGGCTCCTGGCCTGGGGTGGGGGGCACGGGAAAAGGGAGCCATCTGCCATTTGGATTTACTGTATTCTATTTTCATTTTTTTAATCCTCACCTGAGGATATTTTTCCCATTGATTTTTAGACAGAGTGGGGGCGGGGGGAGAGAAACATCAACGTGAGAGAGACACATTGATTGGCTGCCTCCCGCATCTGCCCTGACCAGGGTCAGGAATCGAACCCGCAACCAAAGTACGTGCTCTTGACCAGGAATTGAACCCACAACCCTTCGGTCCATAGGCTGACGCTCTGAGCAACCAGCCAGGGTCTATTTGGATTTCTAGGGAAGAAACTGGGCCTGGAGCACATGCCTTCCTCCCTCCCTCCCTCCCTCCCTCCTTGGAGCCAGTCCTCTGCCTGGCTGCGGGTCAGGAAGGCTAACACCTCCACTTTCCATTTGTTTGTTTCTGTCCTGTTGCTTAAAAAATAATTTATGGAGGTGAAATTCATAGGACATAAAAGCAACCATTTTAAGTGAACACAGGGCATCCCCCAGCCCACGCCCCAGGTAGCCCCCATTCTGTGGTCTGTCCTTGTGGACTTACCTATTCTGGGCACTTCATATGGATGGAATCATGTATTAGGCGGCCTTTGGTTTGGCTGCTTTCACTTTGCATGTGTTAGAGGTGCGGCCTGTGCCTCCACGTTTTGGTCTGAGGCCTTGGAAAGTACCTCACCTCTCTGTTATAGGGAGCTGACAGCACTTAGCTCGGGGGCCACTGACCAGATATGGGTGAACACTCAGCAAATGCGAGCGCTTTGGATTCAGGCTTCTTTTGAGATGTCGATCACTGTTTACCTGATATTCTAATTATTTGTGGCTTCATCTATCTCGGCTGTAAGGCTGAATTCCTCTCTGTAGCCACAGGGCTTGGCATGTATTAAGCCCTCAGTGAATTCCTTTATTGAAAAGATTTCACAAACCTATCATGCTCTGGGCGCTGTCCTGGGTGCTGAATGGGGTGTGCATTAACACTTTGCGCTCCAATTTTAATTTTGGAATTCAAACAGTCTGGTCCGAATTGGAAGTCCTTCCTCTCTTGCTTGCAAAAAAGTGTAATTTTGATTCACTCACACCAGACAACGATGGTTGTGTAGATGTTGTCATTTTTTTATTTGATAAAAAAAATGTTCCCTGGCGGAAATTGCTAATTGGCTCAATCACCAACTCAGCTTGAAGTTGGACCTGCTACTAGCGCCTGGCCTGTCGAGTCAGCCTCGATGTTGGAGCGCAAAAGGTTAATGCGTGGCAGACCATGGCGGCACAGAGAAAATCCAGACTCCAAATTCCAAGTGTACAAAATCAGAAACATTGGGTGGGGAATTTTCTGTCAGAGAAGATTCACCGAACGGTTCCTTCAGTCTCTCAGTCTATGGGAATTCTCATGCAGTGGTGCCCTTGGCTGACACCCCACTAGCCAGTTACCGAGAGGGGCTGTGCTCCCTGAGGTGGGGGGAGGGGGGAGGGAGGGCTTCCTGTAATGTTGAGGCAGAGTCCTGGGAACAGTGGGTAGAATTGGGAGAGAAGCTTACTGCTGGAAGGCTGGGCTCCACTGGCTGCCTCTCAGTGCAGCACCTTTCCAGGAACCAGCTCCCTGTGGACAGGGGCTCGAATGCCCCTGACCTTCACTTGAGTCTTCAGTGGGCAGAGCTTTGTGATGGGCACAGGGGTGGCTGGGTTAAGACAGGATGCTGCCCTGAGCCTTGCCCTCCCGGACTTCACAACCCAGTTAGCAGATGACATCTGAGCCGTGAACCTAAGGGAACCATTGCCAAGTGCAAAACTCAGTGCAGCGTGGGCCGCCTTCAGGAAAGCAGGAGGGGCCACAGTGGGTACGGGCAGGAAGAGGACTTCAGGAAGAGGTGTGTGCCCACTGCTAAAACCATTAAACTCTCAGTGGACCATAACGATAACTTAAACTCTATTAGTTATTGTTATCATCTACCATAATTATAAAATGCTCCCAGTGTAGCCATTTTCAATCTTTTTCATCTCATGGCACACATAAACTGCGCTCCAATTTTATTTTTGGAATTCAAACAGTCTGGTCCGAATTGGAAGTCCTTCCTCTCTTGCTTGCAAAAAAGTGTAATTTTGATTCACTCACACCAGACAACGATGGTTGTGTAGATGTTGTCATTTTTTTATTTGATAATCTACGGGGAAAGAGGTCAGTGCCCCTGATCGAATAGTCGATGTCACAGCATGTTTTATACATTCTTGCAACATGTGGGTTGAAAATTGCTGCCCCACAGCATTCATTCAGCAGATGTTTACCGAGGCCCTCCACCAGCCAGTGCGGTTCCAGGGCAATTCACTGGGTGAACGAGATGGAACAAGGTCACCGCTGCCTCGGGGGGCGGATGCTCTCCATTAGCCAGCCTAGTCCCCTCACAGAGTTTGCTGTACCCTAAAAGGAGAAGTATGTGAGAGCAAACCAGGATTGTGTAGAAACGGGTGGCTAACACAATGCAACAGACAGCTGAAAACAACACTCACCACTCTAATAACCGATTACAGCCGACACCTCTGTTCACCCTCTCTGTGCACCAGGCGCCACGGCCTCCACACACTGAAGTGCCCCAGCACACACACGGGGCAGGCGATACTGATCTGAAAACCTGCAAACCAGATGAGTAAACAGGTTTCCTCATCACATGGCTAAGTGCCAGAGCTGGGCTCGGACCCTAGATGTTTTGGCACCAGTGTCTGCCCCAGTGACGACTAGTGAACAAACCCAAACAAACCACCCACTCACCCCCACACTACTGAAGATAACAGAAGTAGAGAAAACCACATAGCATATTGTTTGCAGAAAAGGAAAATTTTTTTTTTAAATATATTTTTTATTGATTAAGAAATTACATATGTGTCCTTGTCCCCACGTTACCCTCTACCCCCATCCCCCACTCTTGCCCTCCCCCCCCGTTGTCCGTGTCCATTGGTTAGGCCTATATGCCTGCATGTAAGTCCTTTGGTTGATCTTTCCCCCTTACCCCCTCCCTCTGCTCCCCTCCCTCCAAAGCCCAACA